CACATTTATTTTCGCTGTGAACCACCATAATATCCTGTATATATTTTCCTGTGCTATACAGTACAATCTTGTTTATCTATTCTCAGACTGGGATTTCAAAATTTGTAGATACTGACAGGCATATGCAGAATAGATAAACTAGATTTATTTATTTTTAATGGAGGTCCTGGGGATTGAACCCAGGACCTCGTGCATGCTAAGCATGTGCTCTACCACTGAGCTAAACCCTCCCCCCAAAATCAGCCTCTTTAAAAAAAAAGTGGGCATCTTCTTTTAGAATAGCCCATAGAGGGGGATACAAGCCTCGCCTTTTCATTATGGCTTTTACAATGCACTCATATTTTATGTTCCACAGACTGTTATCAAACCTTGAGGTACAAGTGTGTTTTAAAAACACGTTGATCTAAACAGAGTGAAAAATATCTTTTGAAAGGTAATTTCTCCCTGAAGCAAAAATTGAGAGATGCGATCTATGAAAAGGATGGCTCTGAGGCATCTGAAAGCAGTACTCATGGTGGCTATGGATACCAACACTGGAGTGAAACTGCCTGGCTTTGCCGCTGGCTCGTTACGTGACCTTGGACACCTCTTCGCACTTCAGTTTCCTCAGCCATGAAATAGAAAGATCAATAAGACCTTTTTTATCGGGTTGCTGTGAGAATTCATTGAATTCACATATAAAATGCTTAGGACAGCGTCTCAAATGCAGTGAGCACATATGAATGGTAGCTATTTTGATAGGAATCTTTGTTTTACACTAGTGGTATCTATATCTAAAAGTCCCAGAACTATTATTTTTAAAAGACAAGATAGAATTTGTTTCATTTATCAGTAAGGCACAGCATCTTGGCATTTCCTTGATTTTGTTTGGTCTCATAAAACAAATGAGTAAGGTATTGGGAACTGAGCAAATTCAGGTCATCGTGGGAAGAGCACCAGAGTTCTCTTGTCTGAGAAAATGCTTGCTAAACTCTGGAAGTCAAAAATGCAGAATTTTAAGGTCTGTGATGTCAAAAACTACACCCAGGATATACTTACAGCAAAAACTACATATTGGAACTCTACACTAAGCTTTACACTTTATCAAAACTCATTGAACTCATTGGGTAAAGTTTATTGCATGTAAGTGTACCTCAGTAAAAAATTTTTTAAAGTTAAATTCATGGTGGTGAGAACACATTAGGCATTCAATAACTATTTTGACTACATTACCAATGGAATGAATGAATGAATGAATGAATGGAGTCATTTCATCCTTCAGTGATGAAGTATTCAGGCAATCAAGACAATTAAATGGGTTGAATTTTATGTCCTTGGTTTTGAAACTTTACATCGACTTCCAAAAATGCAGTTTTAACAGCAAATCTTAGATCCTTTCACGTGTTTTGAAGGCTCACTCTCCCCCCGATTTACCGGATTTTCGGATTTGCCTTGAGAATGAAGTCAACGGCTCCATTTGGTCCTGTGCCTTCTGGGGCTTATATGTATCTCTTTTGGGTGGCCTTGTACTTTCTCTCGCATTGTCAGACACAGTCATGCAATCTAGTCCTTAAAGACAGACATTTTGATACAGTGACCAAAGATGTTTTTAAAATTTGAGACATTTCCCCAAAAATGAAATCCCTTCTATTCTTTCTAGAAATAGAAGTTGGTTTCCCAAACTTGGAATCTGGGCCTCTCTTGAGAACCCTTAACCACTCTCAGTTAAAACAAGTAGAGCAGAACGATAAAGCAAATGTGTGAGCCAATGTGGACTTTTTCTCATTGGCTGTTAGCATGAGGAGCTGATCTGGAGTCTCCTGTAAAGTGCTTGATTCTGATTGCTTCTTGTATTTTTCTCCCAGGTATGGCCGCAGCCAAACTTCTGCACGACTGTGGCCTGAATGTGATTGTTCTAGAAGCCCGGGACCGTGTGGGAGGCAGGACTTACACCCTCAGGGTAAGACTTGTTAAGGATGGGTTGGAGAAACGTGCCACTGAAGCTGAGTTTCTTTTTTTTCTTTCTGAAAGTCTTGTGCTTCATTTGACTCTTTTTAAGAGAATGAAAATTACTCTGGAGCATTCTCCCCAGCGTCTCTCTCAATTTTCAACTTATCTTCCTTTTCAGCTTATCCTCCCGTCCCTTTTCTCTTCTCACCTCATGACACTTGGCATTTGCCCAGTAAATTATGGCACCAGTAAATAAGTGTTTGGAATTTATTAGTGAATAAAATGAAGATTACTCTTGTGAAACTTATGTTCTCTTTCTTTTGCAGGATGAGTAATACAATAAACAAACAATTAGGCATCCAATTATGCTTAGACACATTCAAACATAGGGAGTTTTTCTAGTCACTCTTTTTCAAAGATTGATGCTTAGGCATTGCAAGTGAACCAATTCATACCCATATGGAAACCTCTCTGTTGAACCTAAGAACAATTTCAAAGGTTTGATTATGGCCAAATATTTCCTAATGCCATCTTTCAAGGGTCTGGATTAGCAAACTGCATAAGAAGTGATTATTTCGTTTCTTGTTTTTCCTCTAGCATTAGGTCCCTCAAAATCAGCCTGAAATGCTAAGTAAAGAGAAATTCATCAACAATTCATAGCTTACAAATCCAAGGCACTAAAACCCAAATCATGTCGTGGTGTGTATTGAGAAGTATGGGGTTCAGATGTCTCTTGTCTATTTCAAGTTTAGTCAGTTTTGTTTTAAATTAAGGAATAATTCAGTAACTGTTAAGTCACATGAATGAAGTAAAGTTGAGAATAGAATCCAATTTTCCAAGGATACACCTCTTTAACCTGTGAAATGCCAATTTGCATATTTCAGGGCTGTCTTTTTTATCTTAGGAAGAACATTTTTACAAATATTTATTTTTATTTTTTCCATGGAAAAACAGAACCAAAAAGTTAAATATGTGGACCTTGGAGGATCTTATGTTGGGCCAACTCAGAATCGTATCTTAAGATTATCCACGGAGCTAGGATTGGAGACCTACAAAGTGAATGAAGTAGAGCGCCTGATTCATCATGTAAAGGTAAGCCTGGACCAGCCTTTGAAGGATTTGAAGACTTCTCTATGGATCTTTCCACATATGAATTCCAGATCCTTCCCTCAGTCTCCTTTATCCCTGAATGATGCATATATATTTTATAAGTATATTTCAACCATTCTGAGAATCTTTTTTTTAATTTCAACCATTCTGAGAATACTTTTTTTACTGTTATCAAAGAATGATTCCAGACCTATTTGCGGAGGTTATTGATGAGGTGATATTGCCCATCTGGTAAAAAGTGTAACAAAACCAATAGAAAAAAATGTGATTGATTTATTAAATAGCTCTATGGAAATAACTAGGTCCCTTTCAAGTGATATAAAAATTTGTGTATAGTTTTACAAATGCTGCCCTAGACTTCACATTATAAAGGGTGTTTGCAATATATCTACTATAGGATTTTGAAACTTTGTCATTAAGTCCTATATAATCAGCTAAACTCACTCTTTTTTTGGAGAAACATAAAAGTTGCTCAAGTCTCAAATTCCATTTTTCATGGAGAAGCTCCATTGATCCCCTGGAAATTTCTGTGAGTTCACTGGGTCTCCCATTCCCATGATCCTTTGTGGCTCATGGTTCTTGCTTCTGTGACCCCTGTGCTCATTCACAGTTCATGGCCTGTGACTCTTACCTTCCCCTTGTTCTGTGTCAACATGAGTTCAAATTCACCTCTTTGTCTTGATTTTCTTCAGACCACCCCAAACATCTGTGTTCAGCAGACTTGACTGAAGTTTTGAGCATCAGGAGGGGGCTTAATTGCAGAAACATAAACAGCTTAGAATTCAATATTGGTCATTCTAATAAGCTCTTAAAACAGTATGCCCCTGGGGATTTCTGAAGGGCCACATTCCTCTGTGGATTCCAGTTTTCCACCATGTTTCTGCCATCCTGATCCTTGTTTTCCCGGCACTGTTGTCTTGATCCAAAATGTCACCAGTGTTCTCTGACAAGCAAAGAGTCACCTACCTTGGGCCCCACTCTGAAGTCCCACAGAAGAACTGGTAGAGGTTTTGAATTTCAGCCTTTCCTCTCTCTTCCTCACTGAAAGTGATCAGTCTAGAGACCTGTTCCTCCCTGGAAGAAATCATCCCCTTAGGAGACAGAAGAAACTAGCAACAGTCAGTTTCAATTTACATAACAATGTTGACACCTGTATATTATTTGTGAGTGGTAATATCAAGAAGGACAAAGAATAGATTGTACATTATGAATCATTTAATAAGACAGGAAATAAATATCTACCTAATTTGGCATAATGAGGGTCACATTCATATATACATGTTTTGGTTGACCTTCAGATTTTGTTTTATGAGCCCTTGCACCTTGCTTCCATATGTGTCTAGCGGGAAAAGACACACACAAATTAGAAATGAAAATGTAACATGGTGATGGTGTGATTTATTGAACATCAGTCAGTGGCAGTGAACATCCTTCATCGGCTTTCTTGCTTTTAAATGTAGGGCATCTTGACCTATTTCTCCTGTCTTCCTTGTCCTACCATTTAAGACTTGGAGAGACTGACTTCCCAGAACACTAAGATCTCTTTTAGGTTTCTCCAGACAAAGGAGATGACTAACAGATTATATTCACTTTTCTGTCTATGTGTGTGCAGGGTTTCTTGGCAGTCAGGAGCTATGTTCAGGATGCTCTGTTTTTCTGGTAATCTTATGGCTCCCGTTAAGTTCCTTGTTTGAAAGAGGCTGGTCACAGTCATCAATCATGGAAACGATGCTATACTTGAATTTTTCAGAGTGATGGCCAAATGTACTACTTTCTTAGACTATTTTAAATAATCCACGTGCAGCTAAGACAATACAAGCAATGAAGTAGTATCTCTGACTTGATACAGAATAAATGCATATGCCAATATTGCTCTTTATCAAAATAAATGTTATCGCTGTTTAATTATTACAAAAATGAAACATGTTTACTGTAAAAAATATAATATGAAAATGTGGGTAGAGAAAAACAACTTAAAAAAAATAAAAACACTCCAATAATCCTATCTAGAGAAAATCACTCTAAATATTCTTTTGGAACATAGATTTTCATATTCCTGTATTGCTATTTTCTGACCTCTGCTGGAGGAAATGAGAAATATCAGTACACTTTAACATACTGTATACCTATGCATATGTGCATATGTTTAATATGCTTACTTAGTCTCCAATTAATTCTCATACTGAGACAGTTGAAGCGCCAATGAGGTTTATGAAACAAAGATGTTTCCAAAGGCGGTTTCCAGAGATGCTAATTTGACCTCCTTGTGGTCATATCCAGTGAAGAGCTACATGTTAATAAATATCAATAAACAGTATAAAGCTAAGAAATCTTCCCCAAACTAAATATTTATTTATTCACCACTATCATCACCGCCATATCTTTGCTCAGATGTCATATTTCTTATTTTTAACCTGTAAAAAGCATCTCAGATAGCTCCATCCATTTTTTGGAATTGACAAGAACTCTGACATTTGATCTCTTACAACATGCCAAAGAATGTAGTCCAGAAATGTGCCTCCTTGGTCATGGTAGGCAGTACTTCGGGCATTTGGACATGACCCTCGATTGCCTATTTCAATAGCTACCATTTCCAAGTGCAAACTACAGTTCATGCAAATATACCAGATATTTGTGCCTTGTTTTGTCAGCAGACCTGCATGTATTTCTTAACCCAAAGCCTGAGAACATCAAGATATCAAGTGTACTACTTACTATCTTGCCAGATCCTGCTAATCAAATCAACCTGCTCCAGGTCTCTGGTTCTTTTTTTTTTTTTTAATTCCTTGCATGGTCGTTAAAGGAGGGCAGAATGTTATGTGCAGCCTTCATACCATTAAGCTAAGGAATTTGGATATGATGCTTGGAATTGAAACTGGTGAAATGGGGCTATTCACAAGAGGGGGAGGGCACAGCAAATGATGGGCTAGCTATCCACAGGAAGGGTGTCTTTCCCAAGAAATGAGGACTCCCAGTATCACCAGTTCCCTGAGAGTTCTAGGAGAAATGGTCTATTGACAGATGGGGTATGAGCGTGCCAGCCCCATACCAAGCATCCGTAACCCCTGGTGTCCTGTGATGTGCAGGGCCTTTTGCTGTCTGCCTCTGATCTGTCGGAAATATTTCTAATCTCCTGAGGGGGCATTCATTTTTAGTACCACAGGAGATCTATTTTATGTGGTTTTCCAAAACCTTATTCATGAATGAAAGATGTGATACCAAGATAAATTGGGATTTAATCATCAGTGGGAAAAGTGATCACTTCAGCTCAAATCTGTATAATTTAGGTGTTTTTCCACACTTCTCAAAGCAGCAATGTGGTTCTTTGTGCTTCACAATTATTGTTAAACATCTACTGAAGTTTTTCATGTTTTACAAATAGTCATGCTGATTTCTGCTAGTCGAGTTTAAAAGGTGGCTGTTTGCATGCCTGGGAAGTGACTTGGAAAAAAAAAAGTCCCCTTTTAGGGACTATCTGATAATTTAAAAGACAAAGACAAAAGGTAAAAACTTGTTAAGGAATCTTGCTCTATTCTGACTTATGCCTCTTCCTCCTTCATCTCGTGTGTGTGTGTGTGTGTGTGTGTGTGTGTGTGTGTGTGTGTGTGTGTGTGTATCTGTTAGCGTGCACCCATCTCTGTGGTTATTGTGATGTTATTTTTTATTCTTTTGGATTCTTACCTTGAAGGAGTCGGAGAACATTCTTAAGTGTAGTACAATTCAGGCTATCGGCAAATTAAGTTCCTCTGTCTCAGAAGCTCTTATAAGTCTGAAATTTGGAACTAGATTCTAGTCAAAATATGCATGAAACTGCTTTAGGCCCAAAGGCTGAACTGTTAAAGAGTTGGGTGAATGTAAAGATGGAGCGTGACAAACTTAAGAGCCCAACTGTGCACTGATAATCTTTTCCAAACTTCAGCTATCTGGAGAAATGGAGGAAAAAAGATGCTCTGGTCTTAGTGTGTTTCCCAGAGGGCAGAAGTCAAGCTGACTGTCAAAGTCCCTTTTGCGTTGTATGTGGTCAACCTTAATGCTTGAAGAGGTGCATGAATGAGGCACCATCCCTCAAATATACTGCCCACCTGTTACTGTGTTGTTCAGACAGCCTCATGGGGGAGGTACCATGTGGCACAGCCCTTCGGTTTGCTGAGAACTCTAAAAGCCAGTGAAAAATACAGGACAAAAAAGCACACAAAGGCAGAGAGCTGAGAGTAGATCTCTATTGACAAGAACAGTTGAGCGAACTTCTTGGAAGCGATTGCAAGGCTAAACTGCCTCTCAGTGTGGGGAAACAGCAAAAGAATTAGAGGTGAAATGTTGAAAACTAAAATATTCAAATGTTAATTGCATTTGCAAACAGAGACGGTCCTATGGTGCAGGACCTCGGCATCTCCCAGAAATCAGGAGACCAGGAGCGTCTAGTCTTCTTTAGGCTGTTAGTATCCCCTTTTCCATGCCTCTACCTCCGATCCGATTAATCCAGAGGAGCTTGGATCAAAGTCTAGGCAGCACTTGCTTGTCTCATGGTGACAGGAGTCTCTAGGAGCAGTTAGATAATCAACTCTTGTATTTCACCCAGGAATAGTTGCCCATTTCACATGAACTTCATACATGCCACACCGAGCTCACTGGCTCTGAGAGTCTTCCCTAGCTGGGATGGACTTTATGAACCTCTTCCACTCCCACCCCCACTCCATTTCATGTCTTAATTGTTGGAAACAAATATGTCTTGTATTCATGGGAGATTTTTTTTCCCCCCAAAAAAATGCAGAATAGTAATGTCCTCTTCAGCAAGTAAAACCCACTTGCCTAGTGATCATTCTGAACCTTATGCCAAGTTATTCTGGAAACCGAAGTGTTCATTTGTGTTCTTTAGAAAATACAGGCAGATTTTTTTGGCAGCTAATAATTTGCTGAAAATGATCCTTTCAATGACTGGATGTGGAGCAATATTTTGGGATGTGAAATGAATTTATTCTAGA